AAAAGTAAATGGGGGGTTTTGTTTTGTGCCAAAAACGTGTACATCCAATGACATTGGGACTTTTGCATTGCTCTGCATTCCTGTAGAAAAATGGTTTGATCAAAATGGTCTACATTATTTACTATAATTTTTTTTAAATTTAAATTTCAACTTAAACAGTAACATTAGTGCTTTTTAAAATAGTAAGACATAATAACACAGAAATTGTGCTCAGTATATGTCGTTAATCTTAACGTAATCGAACAATTGCTTTTCCTGTTAAATTTGCTATGATACACCACTTGGGCTCCAAGTTGTCCAAACTGTGGTTGCTGTCTGTTCCTGTTAGAGCTCACATATGAAACCACGCATGCTTGTAATACAATCTAGTTGAGTCTTTTTCTGTTTGTTGCAATGATTTATGAGCTAAATAATTAACTAATTAAAAATGTGTTAAGTTATCTGCTTTGACCATTTATTAATAATAATAATAATAATGATCATTTACATTTTCAAAATTGTCATTTGCTTTTCCATATTGGTGATAACAAAATTCTTCTTTAGAATCTGTTTGGAATCCATTTGTCATTCTAGAAAGTTAATCTAGCAAATTACAGCCTATGTCAAATGCAAATAAAAAACAGAGTCCTAAAAATGGATTTCAAGTCTTCCTAATTCGAAAATGAGACTTTACAATTACGAGATTCTACAATTTGTTAACCTGCTTTGGTTAAAGCCTTCATAATATAGGTCATAGACAGGTCTACACTGTGCCCATACATGCGAATTTAGGAAATCTCGAGTGGTGTTGCCAAGTAATGTAAAAAAGGAAACGGGATGTGTCTTGTATCTTTTAATTGTTTGATTTAGATTAAACTGAGATTGTATGAGCCATGAGATTGTAGATCATGAGGGCTGAATGAATGTGAAAATAATTTACTATATTTCAGTAGGGGGAGGGGGGGGTCATGGAACTAAACACTATTCACTATTCACCTCTAAATTATACACCATTTACTGCTACATATAATACAAATATTAGAAAACATGTTGTGCTATTTTCAATTAATGCAGTATATGTAGGCCTAAATTAGGCATATTAGACTAAAATAGGCGTATTAGTGATGTGATTTGTGTGTTCAGAAGTATAGTCAAGTGTCATCAAAGTAAAACCAAAGTTAAAACCTCTGGAATTCTGTCTGATGTTAAATGATATAGTACTACACACACTGATCTATAACAGAGATATTATATAGATCACGATCAGTGACTACACACAAGCTGCTACCTATGAGGGTAGGAAGTCTATAATCCAACGAGAATGTTAAGCGAAATATGGAAACTTGAAATAAAATGTGAACAGAAATGAGACTTGTGCTGATAATTAATGGTAATTTTAAATCATGGAGTCACGAAATGAACTGTATTTCTAACTGATGTCTGTGAGGTATTACACAAGTTTCAAATTTCAAATAAGTGGATGAAACAGACATCCGCCCCTTTCGTGGGCGGACGGGGCTGCGATAGGCTTCTCCTCACGTCAATCATCTTCATACAAAATGCCTATTGGCTGCCAAGCTCCATCATCACCCGCGGAAGTTTGTAGAGAGAATCAGAGTATTGTCAGTTATTTAAAAAAAGACATTTTTCGGCACGAATGCTGTCGTTCCGCGTGTTGCCTCGAGAACGAGACAAAAAAGAAAATGAATTTTTAAAGGATGAATTTTGCGTCGAGAACAACAAAGCTCGCAAGAAGTGCTAGCACCTTACAGCTAATAGTATTGTGTAGCTCGTTGTTAATTTAGTTTATTTTGTATCGGTCAACTTGATAAACGGCCTAGGAAAACTATTTTAGCTGAAGTTTAGCAGCTGGCCTGCTTTTATGATAAAGTTAGTGTCAGCAGTATTTTATATTGACAGTTGTGTTTATTTTTGTTTTGATTAGCATGCTAAGCTAGTTTGCAGCGCGAGCTGGAATTCATCATTTTGGATTTACATCTAATCAACATCACCCTTCATACATCGTCATTATAGTGTAATTTACTGTCATCTTCACACGGCAAGGACTGTATCAAAACAGGTAAAGTGATCCTCGTAGCCTTTATAAGTTGTAGACAGTAGCAGAACACTGGAGGCATGCAGATCACTTGACCCTCCTCACCTGTGCGTGTTATTATGGTGAATGTTTTGACATAATGAACATAGACTGGAAGGTCACTTTCACCCCAAATTCAAAAGAAAAACGTAATAATTTATATTTTATACATTATATGCAAAAGAGGCATTGTTGCAATGACATTTGACTGTTGCATGGTAACATTAAAATAGTATAATATATATATTTTTTAACTTGAAGTTAGAATGAAGTCAGCACAACAAATACATGTCTGAATACTTCATAAAATTAATAAATAATGTCATTGTTTTCTTTTTACATAACAATGATCATGATAAATGCAGTCATATATTTATATACACACACACACACACACATATATATATATATATATATACACAGAAGGCTTTAATTTAATATTATGCAATAATAATCAATTAATTCAAATTCCATGGTAACTTCCAGTGTCACTTATTTTTTTGAAGTTAAGTTATAAACATTTTTATTTGTGTATAATTTTATATATGTATAATTGTACATTTTTATAACTTAGCTGTTATTTTAACTCTTACAGTTTTTTGATTTGATAAATTAGTTTGATATAAACTGTTTGTTATAATGGGAGCGTTTTGTAACTGTCTTTCCTTTTTTTAAACTCAGAGGTTCATCATGCTGGGAGAGTGTGGCATGAAAGAATGGGAGAGACGAGTGCTCAGGAAGAACTCTGTCACAATTCTGCAGGACTTAGTGGTGGATGATCTGCTGATCCAGTGTCTACAACAAGATGGAATTCTTACAGAAAGCATGGCAGAAACCATTATGGCATGTTAAAGTATTAATATTAGCTTAGTATTAGTTCTATATTGGATAGATCTACATGGAATCTATGCTAAAAAATTATGTTTTATTTAGAAAACGTTGTATAATGTTGTAAAATGCTATAAAGTACTTTTTTTTGAATAGCCATTTCCCAATAAGTGGCAGCCTTTATTTATTTGTTTAAATTTTACAGTCCTAATAGATGTGGAAAGCCTCATAAATAATGCTTTGATTATTTTTAACCATGAGATAATTTGAATCCTTTCAGGCTAAACCGACATCCCAGGGCAAGAGTCGTCATTTGTTGTTTCTTTTGCCTAAACGTGGCCCTCAAGCTTTTAGCAGCTTCTGTGCTGCTCTTACAGCGACAGAGCAACAGCACCTCAGCAGACTGCTCATGGACTTCACAGAGAAAGACGTGAGTTGGTGCCTTCACTTCGGAATCACACCCAGTTAGACTGACTTGACAGGTTTCTATAAGAACATAATGGGTTGCAGTGAGGGACCAGAAAAGTCTTCTTTAGCAATGACAGCACATCTGATGAGAGCCAGGGAGGCAGTGTTAACAGATGTGCTGTATTCATAGGAAAAACATTTTTGTTCATCATTATTCTAAATTATTGTCCCATAAAGCTGCTGTACTCAATGGAAGGAAAATAAAGCTTATTTGTTTTCTATATATTTAAAGTTTTATACTGTTTACCAAACACTTTATATATTCTTGTCCAAAATACAACATTTTCTCAAGACAGTAAGTTGCAGGAAGAGTTGTGGGATCAGTCTTATGACCATAGAGAGGTATAGAAATCACGCCACCCACAGAGGTCAGAGCTGGGTCAGTGGAGTAAATGAGAGGGAGAGAGGGTAGGACTAAATGGGAAGTATTATGCACCAGTTTACCACACCCAAACTACACAGATTCTTTAAAAAAAAACGGTCAAACAGACAAGTTCAAACTCTCCTGTCCTTTGGAATAGTGGGTTATGAACTAACTGTAAGTTTCTAGTCAGTGTAGAAAAGTGATTTTGTGTTGTTTTTTTTTTTTTTTTAATCTTCACAGAAAAGCTTTTCAGAGCCCTCACTGTCTCGTCCAACTCAGGAATGTGTTATACCTGTGAAAAGAGCCCGGACTCATGGTGAGCCACTTTAGTGTTTGTGCATAAAGCCCAAAGTATACTTCAGTTTTAAAATGAACATTTATTGAACTAAGATAAAGCAGGCTTTGTGCATACTATGCTAATGATGAGATTTATGCCATGCACGCTCTATGCCAAATATCTGGTACTGTTGTACACATGGATACAGGACATCTTATCAAAGAGGATGGTCAAATAAATGACTTTATCTACTACCAGTGATTAATTCCCTGGAGGTTTGCTGTTTTGAATGGTCATTTTTTTTCTGTGTGACAACAAGCTTCATGGTACCAAGAGCTGGAGCTGCTTTTCTCTGAATGGTTATTACGTTACACGTACAGGCGAATGTTGTATGTATGTCATTTTTATGCAACATTTCTAATTTTAGTATAGGTTTTCCATTTAATAATTAATTGTTTCAGGTTTAGTTCAATTGCCAAACAAGCATATTTAAACATACTTGTTATGGAAGAAAGCATAATAGATAAAGGAAAATTGTTATGTGAGATGAGCCTAATATTTTTGAGCTAATGGGGTTGTTTGTGTGCGTGGGCGTGTGTGTGTGTGTGTTTTAGAGTCCATGGAGATGTGTTTGGATGCCGACTCTCCCGTGACCACAGCTGTTGTTCCCTGTACGCCGGAATTTTACCAGTCCCATAGATCACAGGTATAAGGACACAAACTATTCCTTTGCATACTCATAGACAAAAACCCATTTTATTTGCATATATTTTATGCTATGTTAGCACAGTGTGTAACCTCTATGCAAATGTCTTTCCTTTCAGGCGTACCCGATGCGCTCCTGTCCGAGAGGGCTGGCCCTGGTGCTGAGTAACGTGAGGTTTGACTCCGCTAACACTGATTTAGATGTCCGGAGGGGAGGAGAGGTGGATGAGGAGACGCTGAGGAGACTCTTTATGGAGCTGGATTTCACAGTCAGCCTGCACAAAGACCTAACGGCGGAGGCGAGTTAGACATGCTGCAGAGTCAGACTGCCCTGCAAAGCAAAGTCAATTATTAAGTTTTTGATTTGTGTTTTTCAGGCAATGCGCAGGTGCCTAGAACAGTTTGCCCAGCGGCAGGAGCATGCAGAGTATGACTGCACTGTTGTGTGTTTACTGTCACATGGAGTTGAGGGATCTGTCTACGGCACTGATGGACAGCTGCTGGAGGTGCACTTGATTTTAATACCACTAGTGATAGAATAACAATATCCATTTCACGTTTTTTTTTAATAGATACTGATATGGATTCTTAAATCTTAAGAGAAAGCTTTTAGTCTATGCTGTTTTCTGTTGATGCATGAACTTCACTAAACATTATTTGTAGCTCACCTGCCATCCAATAAGCTTTGTACTTTGTTACTTTTAATATGAAATAGTATCACATTTCAAATTTTCATTATTATAGAAATTCACATTTTATCATGATATACAAACAATAAATGTGGTTTTGATGCTTTTTAATGTAGCGTAACAGATCACTGTAACTGATCATCTTTTCCTATTTACTGTTAGTCATGGCACGAAATAAACATGAATGAACATCAGAATGTATGTTGAAAGAAACAGTACAACTCACTGAAATCAATGTATCATTCTCATAATTGCTTAGTCAGTGTTTCAAACATGGAAAGACATCTGACAGCTTGTAAACAATGTCACAACATTACATTTATCTCAGGAAAATCATTCAATGTCCATAAACTGGATAATCTGCTGGAAAAAAATAACTTTAGACAAGCATTATCCAATATATGCATTATATTACATATTTATTATATTTTTTACTTAACCTGTTGTCTTATTTAATTTATATTTGAATAAATCTATCATAAAAACAAGTTTTTATTACAGCCACCGTTTAAATGTTTATATTTCAACGACAAATTCTGTTATTTAAAAGTTGACATAAGAACTGTTGTGTATTTTAAATGTGTGTACAATTGGTTGATTATTAAATACAATAAATTAATTGATTATCAAATTAAAATGCATTTTTGATTTCAGTTTTCGTCTAAATTAAAACTTATATTTAGATTTTTTTGTAAAAAAAAAAAAAAAAAGTGCAATGTTAATATAATTATACAAAAAAACTATTTTTAATTAAGTTAAAAAAAATCTTTTTCGGTTTTTGAGTTACTGGTTTCAGCTAAGGATATTTATTTTCGTGCATCACTATTTATTCTTAGGTATACACACAGTCATACGTTCATCAATATGTGAGTTCCTTTTGAAGTAAATTTATTACCTTGTAAAAGATTCCTTTACATGTCAGAGTTTCAAATGTCTCTCTCTGTCTCTCAGTTGGACTGGGTGTTTGAGGTTTTTGATAACGCCCGCTGCCCTCTGCTCCAGAATAAGCCAAAGATGTTCTTCATTCAGGCTTGTCGAGGAGGTGAGTTACTGTTGATTAACCAAGCACATAACAAAATTACTCAAACTAAAACAAAACTACTAAAATTAAAAATGAAACTTCAAAAATTGAAAGTAACACTATATACTATAATATATAATTAATTCTAAAATAACACTGGACTGACTTTCTCCTCATTTCTCCGTTTTAAAAATAATTTCATTTAAAGACTCCTGTGTTTGAAATTAATTTTGTATACAAATAGAAACTGAAGTAATGTACGAATATCTTTCCAAACTATTTTTTGTTAATGGTCATGGTTTTGACTGGTAATGTATTTTTATAAAATATTAAGTAAGTAAAAAAAAAATATATATATAAAGAGAGAGAGATAGTATTTCCGGACACATTTATTGAATTCTTTGAAAGCGAAAAATTACAAATATATACTAATTAATTCATTGTTTCAGTTCTTAATATGAGGTAAAGATGCACCATTATGCCAAAATACGATATTTGAAGCATATTGTATGGAAATGTGCTAGTTTTAATTCATTGAAGAATTAGTTTCATTCAGCTGAAGCATTTAAATAGGTTTTAATAAAGTCAGTTTTTTTTTTTTTTCAAAAATAGGTTTTAAACCTTTATTATTATTATTTATACTGTATATTTATTGTATTTTAAATTGACAATGAAATATAAAATAGCCACGGAAGCTAGCATGGTGTAAAATAACTTAACAAAAACAAGCAAACAAACATTTCTTTCTATTTCAGAGGAGATGGACAACGGCGTGGACCAGTTGGATGGGCAGGAACGGACTCAATCTCCAGGCTGTGAACAGAGGGATGCTGGCAGAGAGGGGGAGAGAGACGACAAAGAGAGGGAGGAGAAAGACAGGGAGAGACTGAGAGTCAAACTGCCCCAGAGATCCGACATGATCTGCGGCTTTGCCACCCTCAAAGGTTTCAGTGTGTACACATTATTGTATCTTCATCTGATTTTAATACCATTCATCATGTCATATGTCACAGGCTGTGCAGATTGCTGATGTTTTGTGTTTCAGGCACTGCTGCAATGAGAAACACCAAGAAAGGGTCCTGGTTCATTCAGGAGCTGAACACCACAATCAGACAGAGAGCCAACGACACACACCTGGCAGACATACTTGTGCAGGTAAAACATTTTAGTCCACATTTTGAATACACTGATTTATGGCCATTGATGGTTTCCAAACAATGTTAACCTTTCGTGTTTTGTACCTGGCACTTTGATATTTAATTCAGTTGATAGCCATTCAAAATCGGACTGTTTTATAAATAACACCTTATTCACAACCTGTAACAGCGTAATCATGTATGAAATAACAGCCATGAAAATATGTTTTGACATTGATCATTTTATTGAACATTTAGACAAAATCTAAAACAGTTTGCATATGTGTTTTTGTTGAGTATCATATTTGATACTTCAGGCTTTTGTGGCCCATATGGTATGATATAGGAGAATATGAAGCTCAAACATACCAGTGTTCTTCAGAGGCCCTAAATGAGCAAAAATATGCAAATTGCAGTTGCTAATACTTATATTGACAACAAGACAAAATTCTGATATCTTGTAAATCAATGAGATCTTTATCAGTATAGCAGACAACTTACATAAAATGTGTATAAATAGCAGTTGTCTATATCATCCAATAATATAGTGAGATAAAATTTCAGTGATGTTTGAATAAATTTATATGATTAAAAACTATGTAGTTTTAATTGTGGGGGCAAAACATATAATGCAATGGGGATTAAGAGATGTGCAGATAACATTCCTCAAAAGCTTAAAGTATCATCTTTGATACTCACATTTTGACATGACTTTTCAAAAAATGATGTATGGATAATAAATGAAACCTAAGTTTCCACAACCTGATGGGGGATGAATTATACTAAACGGCCTTTTACTTGCTAAAAAGTATAAATTATCAATCAGATGACAGAAGGCATGTAGTTGATTGTGTATAATGGTGTTTTCAGCAAAGTTTTGATCATGTTCATAATTTAGATGCGTAAAATATAATTTTTTCAAATATAAAAAAAAAAGTTTGCATTATAAAATATGATAAAGTAGGCTTTATAGGGTTAAAATGTATTTTGCTCTCTCTCTCTGTTCTCTATAGGTGAATGGTCAAATTAAAAGCAGAGAGGGATACGCACCTGGTTCAGCCCATCATCGCTGTAAAGAGATGTCAGAGTTCACCAGTTCCCTCTGTAAAGACCTCTACCTCTTCCCTAAGTACTACCCCAACAACTAGACACACACACACACACACACACACACACACACACTCCCCAGGCACGAAGCACACACAGAACACACTGCCCTCAGAACTGATTTTGATGCAGTAGCAGGAGCTCAGCGCACGTGTGTGTGTACATCCATCACCTGCTGCAAGCTCAGCACACAACACACAGAGTCATGTAAATCTACTTACACCCATTCCATGTGTCATCTGTTTCACATTCCTCAGCACAATGACAGGTTCATAGGATGCGTGTGTTATTTACAGTGGATTTGCCAAGATAGATCAGATTTTTTTAAACTTCCTGGGTGCACTTAGAAAATGCATTATCACAAACATTCTCCATTAATTCTTTTTTTTTTGCCTTACTCTTAACTTTTTTTTTGTTTTCCCCACCAATGAAATATGCTATGGAAAGAGTAAAGATGCCATTTGTGAGTATATGTGAAAAAAATCAATTTGTTTTCATGATTTATAGGGGGAAATTGGGGTTAAAAATAAGCTGGAAAATGAAATATATGTTTGTTTTTTTTTCTTTCTTTTTTATTCAGCAGCTGTATAAAATTTGCCACAGAATTACCCTTTTTTAACCAAAGCCAACATTTTATCAGTCTTTTGTTTTATCGGATTTATTTTTATATCTATTTGTTTTCACTCTTCTTTGTATAGTTTTGTTTTCTCAGTAATTCATGTTCTGTATGCTTTGCAATTGTGGAGCCTTTTTATAGCCAACTTGTTGGTACATTCAGAGCAGCTTAATGATAAACCCCCCCCATCTGTCACACATACATGGTTGTATGCATAGACATGCATAGTAGCATTGTGCCAGTACCATACTAAACTCCTCCATACCATTTCACTTACTAGATTGGAGCAGAGCAGATCTGCTCTTACTTTATCTTTGGTTTCTGTTAATGTTTTCTGTAAGTACTGTGGCATGACATCTGTTAATTTTCTTTAGTTATCCTGTATGCACCATGGCAGCTTTTTTGAATTTTGATAGGGCTTCCTGACTCCGAGTTAAAAGTTAAACTATTTATTGATTCATTTTGGTTAGCGTATAATAGTTATTTTTAAAAACATTACTAAGATGCATATCAATACACTTGATCGTTCTCCAGACATTTGAGTAATTCCAATACTTCTGGATTCCAGTTGCATTCCAAATGGTGTTTCCACTCGTTTATATATCCTTCTAACATGTTTTGTAATTATGCCTGTACATATGCATGTTTCTCTTACTCTTGCACATTTCTTTTCACTTCAAACATTCTGTGTGCCAATGAATGCACATTATGGAGACTGAAAGTATTCTGTCTTAAAGAAAATCCTGCAGGTGGCGGTAGGGAGCTTTTACACTTCATCAGCTCACCTTTTGTCATTTAGAGCTTCCAGGGTTTAGACACGCAGTCTTCCTGTTCTGCACACACAACATTATTCCTCCTGGGAATGTAGACTGTAAATTTGAGTGTGCTGTTTTCCATCTGTGTATGTGTCTTCCTGATCCAGTAGGCATGACCTTTAGGTTAATGGTCGCAACCTTTGACCTTTTGACATTGCCATGGCATCCCTCAAACTTTCTTCTACATTCCACACTCATCACCTTTACCATAGGTTATCACTCAACATGATTATTTTATTTTACTGCATTTTATTTTATTTTTACTGTCTTAGAAGCCAAAATGTTTTATGTAGATGTACACTGTTCATGCTGATATTGCTTTCAAGCAACTGTTGCTTTGTTGGGTTTTATTTTGATATTTTAACTAATAAGCTTCTTTGAACTGGCAGAATAATATGGGCATAGGTTCATTTTAAACACACATTAAAATCCTAAGTATAAAATGCGGGGCTGGTGCAGATAAATAATTTATAAAGGATTACTTTCATAATGGAAACAGTGCAATGATAATTTAGAAAAAAATATATTGAAATATTTAAACAAATGACTGGTTATTTGATGAAATACTACAAGTTATTTTCATTAGTCAAACGTTGTTTCAAAATGAAAAATAAACTTAAAGTAGGAAACAGACAATGTATATACACTAGGAAAATGTGTCACAGTTTTACTGTACTGTGTTTGTAAGTATTTCTTTAATGCTGCAGTCATTCCATTGAGAGAATGCCAGCACAATGATGTTCTCCAGAACCAGCCTAACATGAAAGGAAAGATGGGTTCATTTTAAACTACTCCTCTAACGGTATTTATACATTTTAATCAATGTATTTCTCAGGCTGTGTTCACCTGGTTTTGAATGTGTGTTCAGAATTGTAATGGTGAAAGCGTTGTGACACTGAGCGCTACAGGTTCTAGTTGTGGTAACAAATGTTTAAAAGTTCCCCTATGAAGGTATTAAAACCCACAATGGACATAGATACATATAATATAATCCAGTTTAGTCCCTGCCAGTCTGACTGTGCCAGATGAGTGCCTAGCAAACTTGATATTAATTGGTTTATTCACTGCCTTTGTCATCTGTACAAACCAGCTCTAAAGGGTGCTTTAAGAAAACTATAGGGAAACTGTCATTTTTGTATTTTTGTAATGCAAAAGCTGCCATGTAATAAAGAAATACTGTTCCAAAGACCACTGTGCTGTGGATTTCTTTCTATAGTTGTTTGCTTGGATAAATGTATCGGTTGTTGTGTGTTTGAGTTGGAGTGTATTGTCTGGTTGGTTATAATAGAGTGCCATGTTGTTATGTTCTGTATTGAGATGTTTAGTATTAGATGTCTCTCACTCCCTCTCCCTCTCTGTTTTTCAGAGTTGTCCTCGGCTTCCGTGGTGATGCATTTTTATCCGTGTGCTCGGGTTTCTCTGTCCTGCCGTGGCTGCAGGAATGGCCGTCATTGTACCGATCCCGTAACACTTACCCATCTGACCTGTTAGCGTGACTCCAGAACTGAAGCCTTCGCCGCAAGGCCCAGATGGTATGTATATAAATGCATGGAGGATTACTTTAATCACTTTATTTATTTTTAAGCTTTATTTAGTCGTCCACCGAGACGTTTTTCCAGGTATATCCTGGCCAATCGATTGGCAGGCCCAGTTGTGATATAAAAAGCGACAACCTACACAATGTATTTCAGATCCACTTGAAGTCACGAAGGATCGTGTATGAGGTTTTGCTGTACTTTTAGCTTGTCAGATCAGTGGATGCTTCACCCGGACGTCTCTCTAGGGTAATTCCTGTAAACATTTCGAACTCTAGAAGCTATGAGTTGGCGGAGAGTTTACATATTCATCAGCCCGTTAATCAGAGTAGAGGTTGAATCACAGCAAGAGTGGGTTGTATTTTAAGACTGTGCGGGGCATCTGAGTTTCCTCGCTGCTGCATTGACGCTGTTGTATTGGGTCACGTTGCCCCCCCTCTAGCTCCTTCCAAAACGCATACTCACTCATCATGTTACACGGGTGCCCCCGAGGGGGTGGTGTCCTGTCAAAAAACACCCGTGCTCACCAGAAGGAACAAAAACAAGAAGAGGTGGAAGTAAAACGGAAATCCAGCTGGGAGGGGTTCAGGCCTGCAGATAGATGGGGAGGCAATGTCGTTAGTGTGAGATGAGGCGGCGATTAGCAGTGTGCCGCAGCTAAGGAAAGACAAGCAAATCTGGACCTGTATTGTCTATTTAACACAAAACACAAGTACGCTCGTTTGGGCTCATCTGTTTCAGTCACTCTCTTCGCCAGCTCTCGGTTTGAGTCTGAGTTTTTACTCACTACACACACCTTATAGTGATTTTTTAAAAACTGTTTTTCTTGCCCTCTTCATAAAATTGATCCTTAATTATTTCCTATATCCTGACAGTGCTTATTCTAGTGTTTGGATTATGTGTTCATACTACAGAATGTGTAGATAAAATGAATGGTCCCCTAACAAGAATTTACCATGGCAACCATAGATTCCCTCTAGAATACCATAGATGCAGATTATTGTTAACATTGCAAAACTATATATATAAAAAATAATAAATAAAAAATCTCTTAATATTTCTAGGTTTTCCAGTCCTGGAATACCTAGAGATGTTAGGGAATTTCAAAGGTGTTTTTTTACAGCACTAGAAATGTAATTTAAATTATTACAAATTTTTTTAGTTCTAAAGTCCTTTATCAGGTAGAAATAATCTTCAAATTTGATATGTAAAAATATTTGAACACTTTACGGTAAGGTTCTGTTCTTTAACATTAGTTTACATCACTTTAATATGAGCTAACAATGTCAAATACTTCTGAAGCATTTATTAATATTCGTTAATGGTAATTTCAGCATTTACTTATACATTAATCAAATCAAAAGTTGTATCTGTTAATATTATTTAATAGACCTGCTCTAACATGAACTTACAATGAGCAGTTGTATTTTTATTAATAACTAACGTTAACAAAGATTAATAAATGCTGTAACAAATGTATTGCTCATTGTTAAAGTGTTCAAAATTGGGGCCTTGTTGTGAAGCGTTACCAATATTTGTAATATTAAATATTAATATGAATAACTTTGCTGTCATTCAGGCAGTTTTCAAACTTTTATCCAAAGTGATTTATAGTTCAGTTATTTTTTTTTTGGTCTTGGAAATCATGGAAATCAGGCAATTTCAAAGGTGTGATTTCTGGGCCTGGAAAGGATTAAAAAGTAATAAAATGGTAATAAATAAACAGTTTTTAAAAAAGTAATGTAAATTTCCATATTATTTTTCCCAGTCTCTCTTAAGTTAGTTCATTAAAAATGCTATCTATTTGTTGAAAATCACTGTAAAAAAAACAATGGGAACCCAGAATAATTTTCAAGAAGTTTGCCAGAATATTTCTGTCATTCCAAATAGAATTACAGTTCATTTAAGGTATACATTTTCAATGGTTTTCATGGTCATGGAACATGCCAGGTAAAACAAAAAAAGGAGTTCTAAAATAGTGATTTTAGGTCCTGGACATTTTTAGAAAATTAATAAAATATTAACATATGGACATTTCTGACTGAACTCTTAAGTATTGCTCTTTGTGAGTGGAATCTATAAAATAATTAAAAATCTTTATCTTATACTCTAGGATTGGAAAAATTCTGGAAACTCATAGCTCAAAATGATCGAGAACCCTGACCTTTGTGTTACCAGCTTGCTTATATACCAAACTAGCCAATACCAAGTACTGGACAGAAACTATGGATACTATGGTAATGTTTTGTAAGAGTTGTGAATATCTGCATGTCTGTGATGTGTTTGCGTTCTCTGTGCCTTCATAAGTGTTGTTGGTGCAGTGTATTACATGTAGGCCGACACTTTGACAGTTTGTGGATGGTGTGTTCCAGTGTATCTAATTGAAGAATCACGCGTCTCAGCGTTTTTCTCGCAAGTGTGTGTTGCGGGTACTGTAACATAAGAGTGAGGCAGCGTGTGTATCTCGCGCTTTGAGCAGGGTGGTGTGTGTAACTGAATAAACGGGTAAGAGTCGGTGAGTGTATGTGTTTCATATGTTGTAACACAGGAGTGAGACTGTGTTTATTTTTGGCTCAGTGCGAGCGTGTCGATGGCTGCCGATGCGTCGCAAAGGAAAGCTCTGAGATACCAGCAAACCCTGGTCAGTCACTGTCTTTCTGTGCCTCTTTCTCTCTCCCGTTGTTTTGTTGTCTTACTCTGAGGCGTTTCGCTGTCTTGCTTTTGGTGGGTGGCTTGCTGAGGTTTGTCGTGGTCAGTCTGGTCTGTTCTAACCTAGAAACGCTTGTCTGCCCAAATTATGAGACTTTAAATAATGGGTCTCAAAGTCTTTCACTTCACTAGCCTCCGCTTTAATTGATTTTCCATTCTATTCTTAGTGGCGACACACATGGAGCTCACTGGGCTCATGAATAGGTATGAGAATGGTCGTAAACTGTGTCAACACCCTGCTGATTAAAGACAATTTGTCTCGTAGACGTCCATAAGAGCCAATACTGTAGATTTGTGCTTCCTTATCAGATGCTTATTGGGAGAAAACCACGTTTGCTTTGCTTTCCACCTTCTTGCTTTTTTAATGCTTATCGGTATGCTTATAGCTTCCTGTTGCAGCATTTTCTGTCCAAAATCTGTTTACTGGCCTCATTTGGAGTGGAAAGAGTCTCAGGTTTCTGAAGATTCTGTAAAACACCTCGAATGCCTTTGAGGATTATTTGCAATGTCGTAGACTTGCTGAACTAAGCAGATGTGTGGACCAAACCTCGTGATTTGTGCGTATTCGTGCTAACCTACGCACTCCATCTCTGCTGCTATATGCTAGCAGAAACCTGAGCATGTAGGTTAAATATACGCCTAGCTCTCTCTGCCGGGCTGCTCTCGATGGCCGCTGTATGGCCAAGAGGAATGTATGGTTAGCTGGTTAGGCGCATTGAGCTATTTGTTCGAGTTTGGTTCTATTGGACAGCTTATTGGGAAAGACTGAGGATTGTATTAAAGTAAAAGGAAATAGATTTAACACAAAAGGTCAAGTGTCAAAAGAAAGCGCGAGAGAATAGTCGTAAATTATGGTGTGTGAGAAAGTGAGACGAGCGTCAATTCTTTAGCTGTCAGTTTTGCACTGTCACAAGTCATTAAGTTCCCACACACAAGCTCCCCTCAACCTTCCATTTCTCCACCTGTCTTCCTCTCTTCTCTCGCTCGCGAGTTCCCACATCGATTTTCTTCTCCTGCCGCACAATATGGGAAGATCGCCAGGGCCGGGAGCTTTTTGTACGCATTTTTACGGGAAATTTTACGCATAAACGCATTACTGCCCCTGCTGTCCCATTTCTGTCTGTCTCGCACACGCAAGAGATTCATGTAGGGAAAATGATCCAGTCAGAGAAAAACTCGATCAGTAACCCTATTCTTAGGCTTTATGTGAATGTTTACCTCTTTATAATCAGATTTAATACATTGTGTTGCTGCTGAAAGCGTGTTTTTTTTGCTCAAGACAGTATTACAAATGTGTGTGTGGTCAAATTATGCCAACTTAAAGGGATAATTCACCTAAAAATGAAAATTCTGTTAAATTTTACTCACCGTCGTGCAGTTCCAAACCTGTGTGACTTTCTTTCGTCTGCAGAACACAAAAGAAGATATTTTGAAGAATTTTGGTAACCGGACATTTTTGGTTCCCATTGACTTAGACATTTTGGTTGCACTTTATATTGCAGTTCATGTACTTACAGTGTAATTACCTAAGAAAGTACTGGGTAATATAAAGTAACGATTACCCATTCTAGATTTGGAGGTAGATTTACAGTTAGTACCTAGTTATAATTGCTATAATAAATACATGTGGTACAGGACTGTAATAGAAAGTGCTACCGACATTTCTCTAAATTTCTTCTTTTATATTTCACAGGAGAAAGTAAGTCATGCAATTTTGATGTGAGTAAATTACGACTTTGTTTATTTATTTTGGGTGAACTATCCCTTTTATGAGGGAATGAAGGGATAGTACACCCAAAATGAAAATTATGTGATAATTTAATGAACCTCATGTCGGTCCCAACCTGTATGGCTTTCATCTGTGGACCCCACATTCATTGGACACCTTTGATTTTCGTTGCGTGGATAAAAAAACACTCATGTTTTACAGAAGAATGTGTG